GTATCGGAGCTAAGTGACGAATAGAATAAAGGAAACATTAAACCTGCCGTGTTTCCCGGTTCGGTCGGTCGGCGGTTGGGCGGCAATCTTCTCCATACGGGTCCCACTTTAGGGCCGGGCGGGGTTCCAGCCTATCGGGCTCGGGCCGCTGGCCCCGCCCGGCCCGACAACATCTTGAGACACCGTCCGTTATCCCCATCATCAAAGAGGCCATGGGCTTGGGCATTGCTGTGGACTGTGCGAAAAACCATGCAATCCTTTAGGGGCAGTCGTTCCATGCTTTGTCACATCTACCCATCCGCTTACCGCCCAGTGCTGACTGTGCGCAGGGTCGATCGGGGAGCCGTGCGCAGGGTAGGATTCTGCGAACCAAGCAATAGGTAACCGATCTGTCTGGAATTGTACATGTGATCCATCAATCCGTTTTGTTTAAGCTGCAGAGACTCCATCCTCACTGATTACTATCCCCACTGATTAGTGACAAAGGCTGAATGCTGAGAAGTTGGGTAGAAATGCTGCCGTCATCATCTTCTGTTTGGATCTCATCCCCTCACACTGCATTCTTGGCTAGAAGCAGCACATACGTCGAAATCAGGAGAGCAGTAAGGCGCCCCATAAAGCCACAAGGGCTTAGACTTCGACCCCGCGTGCATCGCAAGCGCCCCGCAACCTTCATCACAACTCTGCATTCCCAATAGTGGACATGTACTCCAGAAACGGGAAGTGTCGTATGTGTTTGAAATAGTTCCGCTTACCGTCGGCTGTTTGAAAAACACATAAAGAGTAATCCTGCATGTAGCTTGAAGCTACGATTTGACGCAGCTTCTCCGCAAGAAGAATGCCAGATAGAGGAAAAAAGCCAATGGATTTGGCGAATCAATGCAAGAATGAGGGGTCTGGAAAGCTAATAGTCAGTAACGGTTTTCTTCTGAAGTGTGTGATGGGGAGGGGTTAGAGCAAGGTGCCACAGCACAGGCCATCGTGGCCACGTGGGTTTGAAGTGGATTCCTGTCGGTAGCATTATTAGCAACTTGGCATGCACCGCCTTGTCATAGACCTGGCGATTGACCGACCTTTCAGTTCTAGCTCGGTTGTCACCTCAAACCGGGGCACTTCCCCAGCTTCTTCCGATGTTTCCGCTGCCGCGAAATCCTTGCATCAGATAAACTTTCACAGCTGCAGCCTTGACTTTGTTGGGACTGAATCTCAGCCTCACGACGACTCCGCGTACTCTGAGAACATCCTCTGGAGTATCTGTCCCAACGCCTAACCCCTCACTGCATCTTGAGCGAAGATCTTCTATCAAGGTTTCATCAAAACTCACTCTACGGGGATCGGCAGCGGTCGAGGCTGTGCTGGAATGCCCACTCACGGACGCTGAGTACGAATTTCCCTGAGTCTTTGACTTCGTCCAGCGAAGTCTGCTGCAGCGTCTGAGGCTGACTTGTTTACATGTGAATGGAATAATCGAGCACTATAGTCTTGTTGTTCATGCTCCTCGACACTCAGGCCGATGTTTTGTGCATTCAGAGAAGCGTATACGACAATGGGACCATCACAGATGCCCTGCAAAGCGAAAGTGCAACCTTGGCAAGTCTGAAAATCGGTGTAATGTCATTTTGCCGTACAGGTGCTGTTCCATCGTAGGATTTTGCAAAACCTTCGCATTAATGCGACGACGCACGATATCCCAAAGCTGTTTGAGCTAAGATTACGTATTCATGATTCATCTTGCAACAGCGGACTCAGAGTATCAACTAGAGGATGCAATCTATAAGCCTGGCCGAGAACAGGTATAAAGTCTCAATGAATCCCCCCCCCCCAAAAGTGTTGTTAGAGAGGATCCAGAAGCATCAAGTTCTCAGCAAAAAGCCAACAGTTTAATCATTTGCAACAAATCACACCATCCTTCTAATCTATTTCAACATACTATATCTCAATATCAAAATCAAAATGGGCGACATCCGTACCACTGAGAGAGATAGCAACGTCATTGCCCTCGTTGAGGCAATCCTCGGTCACAAGATCGAGAGCCAGCCTGGCTCCTCTACTCAGAGCACCATGGAGGACTACGAGGATCTTGTCGACATGAACAATGACCATGACTTCAGCAAGGAGCCTCGCCCGGATTCTCCCCCCCGCAACCCATGTGTCGGTGCTGTCAACCCATACGCTCTCGCTGAGGCTCTCATTGGCCGCAAGATTGACCGCCAATCCATGGCCGCTGCCAAGATCCTCCAGAATGTCTTGCAGACCGACTACGATGAGCTCTTTGACATGCGTCACCGCTCCGTTCTCTTCGCCGGCATGAGGCTGAACGAGAAGGAGAGGAGGGCCGAGATGTACGACGAGAAGGACATGAAGATCCTCAATGAGCGGGATCTCATAACTCCCGACTTCTCGGGTGTTCGCAGGCTTGACGACCTCGAGAAGGTCGGTCTCAAGGACCTCAAGGATGTCAAGGTCAAGCTTGCCCGCATGCAGAACGGCAAGCTTCGTCTGGTTCTCCACGCCCATGAGCTTGGCAAGACCGTCTCCAACCGAGAGGTCACCATGTCCATCAACGAGCTCGTCACCCCCTTCAGGATGCAGAGGGGTCACTGGCAGCCACCCAATGCCTCGTGGCGCGACATGTATGACTACTTCTTCCAGACAGTCAACAAGCGCCTGATCACCGACATTACCGAGTTCCGTATCGGTGATCGCCGCGAGACCAACCGCCAGTTCGATGACCCCACCCAGGGCTGCACCAGCAACAGCTGGTTCGTCGCTGCTCTGTTTTCCGTCTTCTGGTCTGACCCCGGCGCGATCAACCGCGCCACTCGCGTTCACAGCCACGGCAACGAGAAGAAGCGCTTCTTGGCTGTCAAGTTCCACGACAAGGGCGGCAAGCAGAACAACAAGACCCAGACGGTCGATGTCAACTACGAGATCCCGATCAACAACTCGGATAACGAGCCTCTCTACTGCCGCTCCAGCGACGGTGCCGACATCTGGCCCTCGCTTTACGAGAAGGCCTTTGCCAAGTGGATCACCGGCTCCAACTCCGAGCAGCCCGATATCACCCAGACTCACTGCGGTGACCCCATCAAGGCTATGGCCCAGATCAACGGTCGCACTCCCCACTACTACAACTGCGACAACCACTCTTCTCAGACCATCTTGGGCTTGGTCCGCTCCAACAGCGTCAACAACAAGACCATTAACCCCATGACGGCCTACACGTACGCTACCGGCCGCGAGTACCACGGCGCCAACATCGTTGCCAACCACGCTTACTCCGTTCTGGGCTACTGCGTCCTTGGCGACAAGCAGTACATCGTCCTCCGCAACCCGTGGGGTGTCACCGAGCCTCAGGGCCTCACCAGCTACACTGGTCTCCTTGGCCGTCTCGAGCCCGAGGTCTGGAACCCGGCTACCCTCTTGGACCACGGTGGTCTCTTTGCCCTGGAGGCCGAGTCTTTCAAGAAGTGCTTCTCTTGCATCGGTGTCTCCAAGTAAATGTTGCGAAATAAGTGACCGGTCACTTATTTCGCAATGGGGATCTCGGGTGCTTTGGGCAACTTTGATTTGAGAGTATGAGCTTGCTTGTTTGCCTTTCTGTTTTTGTGTGCTATGTCTCAGGCTCGGTTTCCGTAGCCTGCCAAAAGTTGTGTCGTGCCGCTGCTCGTCCGGCCTATTGTTACTCGGGTTGTGTTCGAGCAGCTGGCGATGTGACAGAAAATAACAGATGGACCAGTGGACAGGATGAAAAGTTGGTGTACCTGGCCTTAGGAAAAATACTATCACAGTTGCCAAAACTACGGAAGTGCCATTCTTGATCAAACAATAAAATTCGAAGTGAACGCTCAAAGCACCCACTAAGGCTAGCTGGTTGACTAAAGGTTAGGGAAAGCCTACGATCCTCTTGAGCCATCCTACTGATACCGTTTTCTGGAGTCAGATGCGGCTGTGTACGACTTGAAGCGAACATAAGTGGACCATCTAAGATATCTCACTGTCGATGCAGTTGCGTATTCTGGTTCAGAGAATCTAACGCTGGATTTCCACACCACGATCTTGCAATACTCTTACCGGACTACTCGCTGAGGCGCGACACATAGACGCCAAGATCGCTATGGTCAACAGTCTGATCAGGACACTGAAAATACCGAATTGCCCGACAGAGCTGCGAACTCATATACTCGACGCGCTTGCGGCCTATGTCGTACCAACCGCTGCATAACTCAGTGAAATAGGGCCCCTCTATGAAGCGGACTGGGCTGCTGCTGCTGATGATGATCAAGGCACCCTCCCTGAGGTGGGCGAGGAAGCACCGCTCTTGAGTATGATGCTTGACCAAGTCATGGACAGGAAGCTAAGCCCGGAAGACAAGTTACTCATCTCCCAGTTTATTGTGGCCGCCCTTGAGAAGTCCACAGTCCATAACAGCTGTTGGATAGAACTCTTCTTCACGAAGAACAGGTTTACCCTCGAAGCCAACGAACGACTCCCCACGTGGCCCGTGAACTCAGACGCACTTGCATCGTTCTTCAAGGACTGGGTCAGCTATATTCCGGTGCCACACTTTGAGGTTCATTGTTCTGTCATCTTGACACAAATTGACCCTACCCCGGCAATTTTACGCATTACGGAAGCAGTTAAGTCGAATTAGGATCTCGCTGGCTCTAACGTAGGCAAACACTGGATTACTCAATTTGATGGTTCTGAAACCGGGAAACTCCCTCTTTACGTCTCGCAAGCATGAGACGCGTTAACTACAATCCTAAAAGATACAATGCCCAATTTGGAGGGCACCAATGGTTTCAGCGTGCGAATGGTGCAGGACCTCTTATTCTCGGTCGCGGAAAGGTTTGTCGAAAGGGTGACAACAGCTCTCCCTACTCTCTGATGTCTCATCTGTGTCAGAAACGATTTGAAAGCCATCGTCATTGGCGTTGTTGGCGGTCAAACTGCATTCCTCTGCTTAAGAAAGTCATCGCGATGATCGAAAACATCCGCGAGAAAAAAAAAAAAATCAAGATTGGACCATGCGCACTGGACAGCAAACTGGACATCTGCAAACCTTCCCCACCACCTTCAAGATCAAGATCATGGCACTCCCTATCCCATATACCAACGTTGTCCTTGGGATCTTTGCCTCGGCAGAACAAGTAGACGCTTTTGTTGCAGAGTTGTCAGGACTTGTCGATGAACTCGCCAACCGCCGTAAACCGTATCACGGGGACTTTACGCTGCTCAAAGGAGAACTTATGAAGGAGCATAGGAAAACCGATTCCGTATATTTCGCTTGGAAACTGGGGAGTCTGTATGACGCCGTACAAATCCAAGAGCCAACTCTGGCTGACTACCTACGAATGGAGCTCGTCGAAGGGTTCTTGCTCTATGCCGATGACCCAACAGACAAGGATCATCTACGCAAAGTAAAAGAGATTCTCTGCACCTGTAAAGAAAGCAAGGCAGAGGATTGGAGATATATTGTTTTCTCTATCGAGAATAAGCTACGGGGGCGAGGAAAACTAAACTCACTCGATTTCGATTAGGAAAAGCAAGTGAAGGAGTTCCGAACTCCTATTTAACTACATATGGTTGTGCTGTATGGAATACAAATAGTTTTGATTCATATTAGTCCCTCACAGAATGGATCTGATCAAAACATTGACTAAATTTCTGTAGATTATCATCCCAAACAGAATGTCTCAACCGAGCGTAGGAATAGATGGTCGAACGCATTCTGTTGGACGTGGTACTGGTTTGCCCCCGGCCCTCTTATTCGATGTTATCCTCTGAAGTCAAAAATCTTGACCACCATATATCAAAGTACTGAGACATAGCAACATCGAGTTATTGGTGAGAATAAAACTGGTATAATTCAATTCTAGCTTAGTCACTTTGACGTGTCGTAAGTGTTTCATTCTGAGATAATGCCACCCTACATACATGTTGGCTCAGCCATACTGAGCTCGTGCTCTCCCTTGTTTCCAGACCAACTGCGGATCATGGGCCTACAAAGACGCACAAGACCACCCCATAACCCAGGGAGGATCTATAAAAATGTTCATTACGTGCATCAAATCAGCTCACCAAGTATTTTCTTTGCTGCTTAATATCATGCGAGCCGTCGTTGACGATGGACAAAGACAGATTCTGAAATTAATGATGGAATAAGAAACGCCACATTTCTGTTTGTCGTCATAGCAGCACCTAGGGTTATGGTTCGAATACCGCTGCTATATAGTAGTGCGTAAACCATTGACGATGCGTTGCCCTAACGAGCAAATGATCAAGATTGTATAGATCCAAGCGCTCAGGTACTGTCCAGTATCTGCTCATTGCGCCTAACCATGCAAGAACAGACTTTTTAGCTTTTGTTGTTTCATCAGATCAAATCTTACATTCGCAGCCAAACAAGTCAACGTCCGCGCGCGACCGTGTTCGGGGTCCACGTGACTGAATGTAGTGCCGGTCATTCCGTTCCTCCGCCACTCGGAGCAAAAACTGTAGATTGACCTCAGTGCATCGTGAGACCCGACTGCTCAAACTTGCGCGCATTGATACGGCGACTTGAATGCCACAATTTGAACTTCTTGTTTTGATACGTCTTCCATATTTACCTTCTTTATACATTGTGACAATGGACAACGCTGGTAATCACACATGGTACAACACCATCGCCGAGTTGAGACTCAGAAGTAGCGTTAGTGCAGCCGACACCTTGCTTCCTACTTCATTGACGGCAAAAGGGTGGCTAGCTTGCATAGCGCTATCTCTACTCAACAGCCTTCTCGACAGATTATTGAGACATTACCAGAAGGATCCCGACCGTCGTGCTCGGTATATTAGACGTCAACGTCGACTAGGGGTATGGGAGGAGAGACAACACAGTGGTCTCGAAAAGCTTCACGAATATCTTTCCGAGATCGAGATTTCAGAGGTGGACTTGAATACGGTGGACATGCATGAGTGGCTCGACTATGCCTTCTATCGATCTTGAAAAGGTTATTAGAAACCATCGAGTGCCACTCGCTACAAGAATACAAATGATTACCATTGAATCGAATGCAATTTATTTGTAAGTGTCTAGTTCGTTTTTGATCTAGTCAAAGTTAACTCACAAATATGCTAGAAAATGCAAAATGCGCAAAACCCAGCGCATTGTGATGGTATCAATGCAGTTGTTCCCACAAACAAGAATCATCACCTCGTATTGACTAGTCTGAACCCGATCTGGGATACAAGCAATCACATTGCTCGAGATAGATGTTAAAATGACTTCAATCAGTTCAAAATCACATTAGAAGAAAACCAACTCATACAGCACGCACAATAAGATATCTACTCGTAATTTTCATGGAAGAGTGCCTCACCCGTAGGTGAAGCTGAGATACAGGTTGCGCGGGAGAAATGATGCCATGATGCAAACTGGAATTGTCAAGGCACTTCACCAATCAGACACGCAGTGGATGGGGCAGGTTTGATAAGAATACACCACAGAGAATAGGAACCCGGTATATTGGAAGTTGTTCCGTCTTACGGCTGACAATAACCATAGTCTTGTCGTTACCACTAATATTTACGCAATGTTGCGCGTTCTAGTTGATGCTAGAGGCTTTCCAAAAGATCCATGGCACCCCTGGCCCTAGTACAGATATGTTTCCTTACCACTTCGGAATTCTGGCAGAGAAATCTGGCTGAAACTTTCTCATATACGTAGTGTCGTCCCGCTTCCGCAACCCACAATCCAAATATTGCTGATGTAGATGCGCCAGCTTCTGCCTGTCGAGCTCAACACCCAATCCAGGCCCCGTTGGAACATTTAAGCCACCATCGGTCCACTTGAGAGTTCCGTCAATAACAACATCCTCGTCACGAGCCTTCCATGGCCAGTGAGTATCGCAAGCATAATCCAGGTTGGGTGTCGCGGATGCCAGGTGCGTCATGGCGGCTAGCGAAATGCCCAAATGACTGTTGGAGTGCATCGAAAGCCGCATGCCCCATGTCGCGCAGATGGCGGCCAGTGTCTGAGACCTGCGCAGCCCACCCCAGAAGTGGTGATCAGAAAGAACCACTTGGACTGCGTTTCGCAGGATCGAAGTAGGGAGGTGGGAGAAGGCGACGACAGCCATGTTCGTTGCCAACGGCATCGACGCCTCCTTGGCCACGGCTGCCATACCTCCGATCTCTGGAGCTGGATCTTCCAGGTATTCGACTATTCCTTCCAGTTCCTTGGCTACCCACTTGGAAGTCTCAACTGTCCAGGCAGCGTTAGGATCCAGCCTCAGTGGTACGCCGGGGAACGCCGTATGCAATGCCTTAATAGCTTCGACCTCCTGGGCTGGGGGGTAGACGCCGCCTTTGAGTTTGATAGCCTTGAATCCATATTCGTCAATGATCTTCTGTGCTTGCTTCACAATACCGGCAGGATCCAGCGCTGCGCCGTACTCGTCATCGGGCTCTCCAGGATGACTAGCCCACTTATAGAACAAGTATGCAGAGTATTGGACGTTGTCCCTGATACGGCCGCCAAGGAGGTCGCTCACGGGAACGCCAGCGAACTTGCCTTGAATGTCGAGGCACGCGACCTCGAACGGGGAGAAAACCTTGTCGACAACCGAGGCTGTAGTCACCATACCTGCCATGCCGTCGCCGCCAGTACTGGTATCGCCCTTCAGGGAGCCGACACAAGCTTGGTAGATGGAGTTTGTGCTATAGACCGAAATACCCTTGATGCGATCGGCCGCGAGTTGCAGGCGGCCAAGGTGAGTTGAGTCGCCGTAGGATTCGCCCAATCCATACTCATCGTCCGTAATGACCTCGATGATGCTGCGGAGTGCAAATGGCTCGTGCACACCAACACTGTTCAGCAATGGCATATCATGGAATGCCACGGGCGTGATGACAATGTCCCGGATAACTCCCCGTTGAGACATGGTTATGGATTTTGTGATGAAACCTCGACTTGGACAGTTTTCCAAGTCAGATCAACTATCGCAATTGATTCAGCAGGAAATGGCAACCTTTTTGTCGTCCGGAATTAGAGAGTGATCAAGTGAGATGAGTTCGAGGCTATCTCTAATGCATACACTTGGTGGCTAACTAGTAATTAGTACATCCGAAGTGGACATTAATCCGTTACTGTTATAGTTTTAGGAGTGGAACGCCGTCTTTTCCGCGCTCGTCTCTTGAGAAGTGGCAAGGAATCGGCCTTCCCCCCTCTCACAGCCGAGGAAATGAGGGGTTCCAGACGGAAAAGTACATCCTTTCTAAAGTTGGGGGGGAGGGTGTTTAAAAATGGCAAAGCAGTGCCAAAATTCCGACTTTGCAGCTTCATTGGCCTGTTATTGTCATGCCATCTATCCGTGGATGATGCATTTCCCTGAACCGTTAGGACAAGATCATCGTGCTGGATTCTGTCTTGGGATTTGAAAAGCCCCAAAACAGCCATAGCCAACACTCTACATGAAGTTCCTTAGAGTTAAGGGTGTTTTGCATTAATTGTGTCAGATGTTTGCTAAGTTTGATAGGACGTCGAAGCCTTGATCTTATATTTAAAAGCTCAGATGTAATGGGAATCAAGGATTCACGAAGCATAGTAACCTCTATACATATCCCAGTTTCTCATCGGCGACCTTCATGGTGTCCAACACGGTTGATGCGCTACGAG